GCGCCTGCGCAGCTCTCCGGAGGTGGCTGGCTGCCGGGCTTCCTAAGGACTGGCTTCCGTCCGGGTCCGCTGTGTCTGGATCCCGGGAGGCTGGGGACCGGGGGTCCGCCCAGAGCGGTCGGAGCGCGCCGGAGCTGGGAAGGGGCCCCCAGGAGGCCGGCCGCAGCCACGTCACGCCCAAGGTCACGCTGCAAATGGCAGCCGTGGAGATCTCGCTCTAACAGCGGGCTACCTGGACTTTGTCCCCATCGAGCCCTGCAGGTGAGGAGGAAGGCCGAGAAATTCAGGCTTGCAGCCCAGAGGCCTCAGCCCCGGCTTCCAGAAATGGAAGACGCTGTGGGTCGGGAGCCAGAGCTCTTTGTTCTAGTTTTAGCCGGACCCGTGACTCCCGGCGTGGCTTTGCGCGAGTTCCCGCCCCTCACTGGGCCTCCGTGTACCCACCAGTAAAGTGGGAGGGTTTTTGGATGGCTCTCCCTAATTTCCAGATTGACTTAAATTCATTTCCTTGTCAGACTTCCCCTACGGCTTGCCCCCGGCTTCGCCAGCCACTGCCCTTCCTCAGCAGCAACTTGGCTGTACTCTGAAACTCTGGACCCTCAGGTTCCCCCCAGACCACCTGGGATTGTCTGGAATCGACTGTGTGGGGCAAGAAGCTGCACCCAGCCTCCCGACAGCAGGCTGAGGACTTGCTTCTTGGGCATGGAGTCAGTAATCCTTTTACTGGCTCCCCACCTAGGCAGACCTTGTTACCGCCAGTAAAGACGCATCGGAGGCTTAGAGACAGGACCTGGCTCTGTCTGCCTTTGGCCCTGCGCTGTGCCGATTCACCCAAATCAGATTGTTTTAAAATCCAAATTTGTCTAAGCATGATGCAGTAGAAGGGAGCACTGGCCAGAGTCTGGAAGTTTGGGTTCTGGTGCTGGCTGTGTACCTTAGGCTAGTATCTGCCCCTCTCTGGCTCAGTCTTCCCTGATAAACAAGGGGTCTGTCACATGGTCTGCAAGGACCCTGTGTCTTTGGTATTGTTAACAATAGTAATAGCAATCATAATTGTGTCCTTACCTTGACCTACAAGGCCCTGCCACAGTGGGCCCTGTCTACCCAAAGCAGCAGACTTGCCGTTGACCTACCTCGGGGCCTTTGCACTTGGTGTTTCCAGTGCCAGGAACACTTAACCACCTCCATTTCCTGCATAGTCATTCTTCAGATCTCCCCCGAAACTTGACTTACTTAGGAAGTTCAACACAGATGGGATCCCTGGGTTTATATCCTAATGGCACATGCTGACTTTGTTATACTTCAGTGTTTGTATAGTTCTTTGTCTAATATCTGTGTCTCGTATTCTTTAAAGCCTGTAAATGCCAGGAGGGCTGGAAATCTATCCTGTTCCCTAGCATCTAGCACATAGTAGGTGCCCAGAAATTTGTGGAATGAACGGATGATCTCATTTCATGCAACAGTCTCGTGAGGTTGGCACATCGTGCTCCTCTTCAGTCAGGAGACAGAGATTCAGAGAGTGACACTCCTAGGGTCACACAGTAAGTGGGAAGTGCCAGAATTTGAACCCAGTCTGCCTCTGACCCCAAGGTCTGAACTTCTACCTCACTGCCGTCTCATTCCAGGATCTTCTGCTGTGAGGACGTGCCACAACTCTGGCCCACAAGGCCCGGAGAGAGAAGACCTTTAGGTTGTTGCGGGGGGGGGGGGGGGGTCTTGTCCGGCTCAGTTTCTCTTTAACCCCTGGCGGACTTAGGGTGCACTTGCCCCCCTCCGACAGGCCCATGGCGCATCGGCTGCAGATACGACTGCTGACGTGGGACGTGAAGGACACACTGCTCAGGCTCCGCCATCCTGTGGGAGAGGAATACGCCACCAAGGCCCGGGCCCACGGGCTGGAGGTGGAGGCCGCCGCTCTGGGACACGCCTTCAGGCAGGCCTACAGGACTCAGAGCCACAGCTTGCCCAACTACGGCCTGAGCCAAGGCCTCACCTCCCGCCGGTGGTGGCTGGATGTGGTCTTGCACACCTTCCAGCTCGCGGGTGTTGGAGACGCGCAGGCTGTGGCCCCCATCGCTGAGCGGCTGTACGAGGACTTCTGTAAGCCGTGCACCTGGCAGCTGTTGGAGGGGGCCGAGGCCACCCTGAGACGGTGCCGAGAACGAGGTGTGAGGCTGGCAGTGGTCTCCAACTTTGACCGGCGGCTGGAGGACATCCTGAGGGGGCTGGGCCTGCGGGAACACTTTGACTTTGTGCTGACCTCTGAGGCTGCCGGCTGGCCCAAGCCTGACCCCCGGATTTTCCGCGAGGCCTTGCGGCTTGCTCGAGTGGACCCGGCAGGAGCAGCCCACATTGGGGACAGTTACCACTGTGATTACAAGGGGGCCCAGGCTGTAGGGATGCACAGCTTCCTGGTGGTTGGCCCAGAGCCCTTAGACCCTGCAGTCAAGGGTTCTGTACCCCAAGAATGTCTCCTCCCCTCACTGTCCCATCTCCTGCCTGCCCTTGACCGCCTGGAGGGCTCACCTCTGGAACTTTGAGTCTGACGAGGGAAGTGGCTCCAGCGAACTAGAAAGCTCCTCCCTTTCTGAGATCAGGCCTTTGGCTCTCTCCCTGCGGCGTCCAAATGCATTCTGACTATAAAGTGGTGAATGCAGGGCTTTGAGCCCGTCTCCACGCCTCTCAGGTGGTTTATTTGTCACACCTGTGTCTTTCCCCACCCCCACCTACAAGATTCACTAAGGGCCCAACTAGCTTCAGAACCAGGCACATTCAAAAATTTGTTTTAGCAGCAGGGCCCTATTGTTATGGGAGATCTTACTGGAACCCCAATGTGCAAAACAGCAAAAGCAAGAAACTTCTAGGGTTGAAACAGGTTCTAGAGCCCCACAGTCGGGCCCTGAAGCCTCTATGACTCCCCGTGGGAAGCAGGAGATCGGAGGAGCTTAGTTTGGAAAACTGGGGTGCTAAGCTGTGCTGTAGGGACATGTCCTCTAGGACTATATAGTGTAAATAGGATCTCAGAGAAGGAGCACCCGAATTACATCATGAGAAGAAACTTCTTTCATGCTTGCCATGTTAGTCCTTTACATGCAGATAGAACCCTCAAAGCTACCTAATGGGCAGAGGTAGCGGGACGTGCACTTTACAAATGAGAAACGTTCAGAAGTTAAGTAGCCTGCCTGACGTTGCAAGGAGAGCTGTGGCCCTCGAGACGGTGCAGTGGTGATCGTGGGAGAACAGGGAGGCTGTTCCACAGGAGGCCGGTTTTGAAGAGCACCCGAGTCACAGGTGTTAGCATGGAGGTAGGAGAGCACAGGGAACGGGGACAGGAGCTTGAGGTGGCAGGAGTGTAGGACACATGCGGGGAATGACTAGAGACTGAAGGAAGTAGGCTGGGTTTTAAAAATTCCATGTCCCTTCCTGCCTCTCCCCTCTTCGCACTCCTCTTCTCTCACACCTGCTTGGTACTTACCAGACGCTTGTATTCCTTGCCTACTGCCAGGCACACACACGGTGTTAGGTTCTGGTGCCAGCTGCTGGGGAGGGCTCCCGAGTGGCCCCGAACTGCGGTGACATTTAGGTGGGCAGAGGAGTAAGATGCCTTCCTGGCAGGTGGCCCATGAACTACGGACCGAGGGCTGCCATGGGGAGTTAGATTGGCAATTTGGGGGCATGGTGTGGGGGGTGCCTTCGGGTGCTGGGTAGAAAAGGTGGGCTCTGACCCAGGATTCTGGGCAGAGATTGTGCCCACGTGAGGGGAGGGAGGCTCTTCTCAGACTTGGCCAAACTTCCAGGTTGGTACGAAGCCCAGGTGACATTAATTCCCAAGTATCAGGCAGTGAGGACGTGGGTTGAGCTGTTCTCTCAGAGCTGCAAGGGCCTCGGAAGTACCTGAACCAAAAAAGTTGCCATTCGGTCTGTGGACTGGATCTGATCTACCCAGTGTTTGGAGTAAATTATTGAGCAAACTTAAGAGTGGGGAGGGCTCTGGCCCCCATCTTTGAGCCCAGGGGCCTGAAGTTGTAGGTAAGATTGCCTCTGAACTGTGTTCCTAAATAAAACAGGAATGTGAGGACCACTGTTCTAATGTGACCTCAGAGAACAGGAAGGGACTCGGCCCGGGGTTCCAGCAATGCAGGGCCCAGAGCCGTCTCGGGGCTCGAGTGGCTGTGTGCGCTGAGCCGGGCGTGCGCATGAGGGTGAGGAAGATCTCTTTCCTAGCAGGCGTACCTCTTTAGATGTGAGCTGGCACTTGGGGGATGTGCCCAATTTCCCACAAAGAACATGGAAGAAACTTCTCAGTCTTTTAAAACCTTTAATAACAGACGTGTTCCCTACGTCTGGCCCTCGTACTCCCTCAGCTCTCTGGGGCTTGAAGCCCTCACTCCAGGTCTCCACATTATGTCGGGGGGGCCACGAGCTGCGGGGAGGGGGCAGTTTTGGGGGTGTTGCAGTCAGGTTACCTCCGGACAGGATCCCCTCAGTCTCCTGAGCCGCCAGGCTGGACCTGGTGGGGGGACACAGCCCCCCCCCAGGCCAGAGTCTTCTGGCCAAGAACAGCCTTGCAGGAGTTCTGAATCAAAGCCAGGGACAGGGCTGGAAGGCAGTGCTTCTCCAGAAGAGTCTACCACACACACCCAGGCACCTTTCCATCCACCCGTTCGCTCGCCAAGTATTTCTTGCACAACCGGGCACCAGGCACCATGCTGGGTGCCAGACACGATGTGGTGAACAAGACACCCTCGGAGGGCCAGATGCCTGGTGGATTTGGGAGACTAAGGCCCCGCGGGTAGCAGGCTCCCCACAGATACCCAGCATGTCACGGCTGAACCCAGACCTGAAATGGATCCCCCACCCTCCTAAAGCTGCCCATCGGGCAGAGGCAACATCGGGGCTGGGGGGGAGACACTGGGTAGGAACATGGCCTGGACGCGTGGTGGGGAGCAGACCAGGGCTCCCGGTGGTCGCGGATCAGCGGATGATGGAAATGGTCTGGTCGGCCACCGCAAAGACCGGGAAGAGGGGCCCCGAAAAGGGCACGTGGTGGGCGTGGAGCACCGTGCCCGAGGCCGGCTCGTAGAAGAGCAGTTCCTGCGCCTGCAAGTCTAGAAGCACGCCCAGCTGGGTGGGGCAGCGCAGCAGCCCCAGGGGCTCGTGCTGCCCGTCGTGGGAGAAACGGAACTCCTGGTCGTAGCGGGAGAAGACCCAGGAGAAGGTGTTGTGGCCCAGACGAGAGTCACTGCCGGAGCCCTTGCGGGGCAGCTGGCCCAGGGCCACGCCCACCTTATAGGCACAACTGTTCTGGACGTTCACCATCCAGGTGTGCAGCCCAGCCTGGAAGGGGGTGGCCGCGAGGGCATTGGGCCAGTGGTCAAAGCGCTCGGGGGCATCTGCACAGGCCTTGGACTTCTTGGCATTGAAGGTCAGGGTCCTTCGATCATCTGACAGTTGCAGGAAGGGGCTGACGGTCCTCTCGTCGATACGCACGTCCTCCGTGCCTGCCAGGACGAATTCTGAGAGTTGCCCAAGGCCCACCGTCAGCCCTAACCCGGTCCTGTCAGGCAGCAAAGGGCTGCTGCACCACCCACCAGTAACGTTACCTCACACAAGCCCTTTCCTCCCTCTGAGCCCCCAGCATCCTCATCGGTAAAATGGGGATCAGTCGGACTTATCACAGGGTGGACGTGAGGACCAAATGGGATGATACATCTAAAGTCCCTAGCATTAATTAGGTGCTCAATAAGTTGTGGCCATGACAACAATAGTTATTATTAGTCTAGGACCCTCATCTGTAAACTAGAAAGAAGGCCCAGGGAGGAGAAGCAAGTTGCCCAAAGTCACACACCTAGTTGGTGGCAGGGCAAAATGAAGACCCAGCATTTTGCTCCCACATCTAGCACCCTGCACCGATCACAGCGCATTCCAGTTGAGGCCTGTCTGCGGCCTCCAGATCAGATCTGTCCTAGGGGCAAGGCCCCGGGAGCTAGGAAGCATCAGATCCGTACTTCCCGTACTTTCCAACAACTCACTGAATGGGACTGCCGGCAATCCGGCCCACTCTGATACGAGTGTGCAGAGCAGACAAGCTGGAGCTTGCGCCAAACATGTAAGGCTAACATCCAAGGAGGAGGGTTAAAACTGAGGAACAATTCGGGGCGCCTGGGTGGCTCAGATGGTTGAGCGTCTGCCTTCGGCTCAGGTCATGATCTCACGGTCCTGGGATCGAGTCCCACATCGGGCTCCTTGCTTAGCGGGGAGCCTGCTTCTCCCTCTGCCTGCCACTCCCCCTGCTTGTGTTCTCCCTCTCTCTCTCTGGCAAATAAATAAATAAGATCTTAAAAAAAAAAATGCTAAGATATTAAAAAATAAAACAAAAAACAAAACTGAGGAACAATTCAATCCATTACCCTAACCTCTTTGTGATTCATGCAAACACCACAACCAGGAGCACAGAAGCTTCCACCTAGCTTGGGAGATTCTGCTTGGGGAACTCCCGCACTAAGTGGGAATTCCCGCGGGAGAAGACCGTGTCGCGTTTACCTCCGTGGCCTTAGCACGCAGCACGAGGCCAGGCCACAGTCGGCCTGAGTTAGTGGTTAAGTAAGTGAGGCGAATCCAGGCAGCTCAATTCTCGCTCCAGATGCTCTCCAGCTGGCCAGCACTTGTATCTTCTTAAAGAGAAACTCGGTTTCCAAGAAATAATACTAAGCTGTCCCACTCGGGCAGGACAGAGCTGTGACTTATAGGAACAAGATTCTTCTTAGAGCCAACAGAGCAGGCTGGGCTGGAAACGGGAAGGACCTGACCCGGCCGCCCCAGGCCTGTCCAGACCTTGGCTTCACCGACAAGCCTGCATCTAGCATCACTGTTTGCTTTAGCTACCGTGCCAGATGTTCTGTTCCCCAGCGTGACCCAGCAGCACACCCCAGCCATCCAGCCAGCCGCCCAGTTGTTCCCCCTGGTGCTGGGCTCTACCAGCTCCTAACCTGAGAGGGACCCGAGAACCGCTGTCACCCAGAGTTGGGTAAGTAGTGGGCTCCGAATGCACTTCTCATTAAAGTTTAACTTGTCCGACTCCTGGGGATCCAAAATGCCCTCTGCTTCCTCGGTCCTTGTGGAAGGGGGGAAAAAAAAAAAGACAAATTCAGGAAGGTTCTGGAAATGGATCTGGATCAATATAGGGTGATGGGAAAGGGACAGAAGTAAAATCTTCTTCCCATGAGGGTGACACCAAGATTGGCAGCCAGGCCCCAAACAGGAGCCCCCTAAAAAGGCTTGAGCCAAACAGAAAGCAGGGCTTTCCCTTGTGTCCCCCAGGAGTCTTAATTCCAGCAAGGCGGACAATTTGCAGGGAGGTAAATACTTGGTACCGGTATTGGAACTTGGAGTTGGTCTACTCTGTAGGAGAAACAACCTGCTGCGTCTCTAAGTTAGCAGCAGAACAGGGATGGCACCTGAGCCTCTTACGCACCAGTCTTTCCACTCCCCCGTCTTATGTGGAGAAAATCTTGCCTCCTTCCAAAACCTACTGCAGCAAAACCTATTGGTTCAGTAAGAAGGTACAGCCATTCCTCTGCTCTTAAAATGCAAATACCCTTGGGGCACCTGGGTGGCTCAGTTGGTTAAGCGACTGCCTTCGGCTCAGGTCATGATCCTGGAGTCCCAGGATCAAGTCCCATATCGGGCTCCCTGCTCAGCAGGGAATCTGCTTCTCCCTCTGACCCTCCCCCCTCTCATGCTCTCTATCTCATTCTCTCTCAAATAAATAAATAAATAAATCTTAAAAAAAAATGCAAATACCCTTGAGGGATCCCACAAGAAGGGACTATCAGTTATCACCCCAACCATAAATTAGTTCTAGCGCTTTGCTCCTAGTAGCTACCTCTCCTCAGCTCACAGGGGCACTGGGTTTGGCTGGAGGGAACATGGGAACGTAAGATGCCTAGGAGGGGAGAATTACCATTTATTAAGTATCCAGTTTCCTTTATAGAATCTCATGTAATCTTTGCTATAACCTGGTAGATAGCTGTTATCCCATTTGACAGGAAAGAACAG